TGTTATAATCTATTTGCCAAATGAAGACAGCCAGAGAAGCACATTTGCAGTGGGAACAGAGGTTAAACATGCTCAAGCTCTAACTTTGTCATGGAATTATAAATCTTCTTTAAGTCATCTTCAGACAAAAGGTTTAAAAGGTGAAAGCATGTATTGTAAACTAAATGGAATTCGGACTCCTCTAAATAACATGATGTTTTACACTGCAGGGTGATCGCTGTGTTCTGCCGGACGAGTGCCCATGTCACCATAATGGTCGACTCTACTACAGCAACGACACCATCACCAAAGACTGCAACACATGGTAACGTATGCGGTTGACTCATTGCATTACATCACTGCGGCTTGTAACTATCTCAACTGCTCTTCATTCTCTGCTGCAGTGTGTGTAAGGAGCGACGCTGGCATTGCAGCCAGTCGGCTTGTGCTGGCGTGTGCGTGGCAACGGGGGATCCGCACTATGTGACCTTCGATGGCCGCTGTTTCTCTTTCCTGGGGGACTGCCAGTACGTCTTAGCGAGGGAGACCGGCGGTTTGTTCAGTGTCACGGCGGAGAACGTGCCCTGTGGGAGCACTGGGGTCACCTGCACAAAGTCGGTCACCCTCAGTCTGGGAAACACCATCATACACCTGCTGAGAGGTAGGAGGGATTGGGGGGTGTTATGGGGGATGGCAGGTTGGGTGTCATAAGCACCTTGGACTATGCTTTAGAACAGTTGCTTGAAATAAATGCTTTTGTCTCTATCTGTTAGGTAAAGCTGTGACAGTGAACGGGATGCCTGTGACTCTACCGAAGTCCTACAGTGGCAGTGGTCTGTCTTTGGAAAGAGTCGGCCTGTTTGTGTCCCTGTCCTCTCGACTCGGGGTCACTCTCCTTTGGGACGGGGGTGGGACAAATTTTACGTTTTTTTACAATTTAATTCACCAATTATTGTTCCTGACATTCATAGAAGACGGAATTATTTACAGGTATGCGCCTTTATGTGCGCCTGGCTGCCCACCTGCGGGGTCGAGTCGGGGGCCTGTGCGGTAACTTTGATGGAGATACGGAGAACGACTTCACAACGCGGCAGGGCATCGTGGAGTCTACGGCTGAGCTGTTTGGAAACTCCTGGAAGGTCAGCCCCTCCTGCCCTGACGTGGCAGATCAGGACCTCCGAGACCCCTGCGCTGTAAGTTCAATACAGAATGCACAAACACACACTGACATTTACATGAACTGTGGACTCGGACCTAATAACCTCCTTGTAAACAATTTTATATCATGTGATAGACTTTATCTTCCTCATAGAAAATGCAAAAGCTAACCAAAAACTACTTGCTCTCTGTTTGTTGTGTTCAGCTGAACCCCCACAGAGTCACGTGGGCCAGGAAAAAGTGTGCAGTCCTCACCCAGGAACTCTTTTCTCAGTGCCACGCTGAGGTTCCCTTCCAGCAGTATTATGACTGGTGTGTCTTTGACGCTTGTGGGTAAGTGTCTGATCGACACACAAAATCATCGAGTATGTATCATACTTCCAATACACAACCTGAACATGTATTTGGACATGAAATTCCAGGGATTTTGTTCACAATTGATCAAACAGCTATCGCTTGGGATGGGATGGCCCAAACAGAACACAACAAACACAACGACACAGATTAAAAAAAAACTATTTATAACAAAATTTATGAGCTGAGATGCTAGAAGTGCATTCATGAAACTTTTTGAATTGTAACTTAACATATAAGCAACAAGCCTCTGCAGCAGTCTGGGTTTGATTCCCACCTGCGGCCCTTTGCTGCATGTCTTCCCCCACTTTCTCTGCCCCCCTCTCACAACTGTCAAAAATGAAGGTGAAAAGCTCATAACATATACTTAAAAAAATGTTTGATACAAATATAGCTTATAATTTTTTATTTTTTTATTACTTCCTGAAATATGCAAGTCAAACTACTGCTACTGTACGACAGCCCTTCAGTCACTGCTGATTGTAATTTACTGATGTTTGTGCGTCTGTGTGTGTTTTAGCTGTGACTCAGGCGGGGACTGTGAATGTCTCTGCACAGCCATTGCTGCCTATGCTGAGGAGTGTAACCGCAGAGGGGTCTACATCCGCTGGAGGTCCCAGGAGCTCTGTCGTATGTTGCACATACAACACACTGTCATACTGTGAATCTTACACTCATACAACTGAAGTCTTGTGTCAGTGTTTTTCTGAAACATTTGTACACATCGTCTTTTGAGTCTTCAATCGATTTTCTGTTCCCGTGATTCCCTGCAGCTCTGCAGTGCGAGAATGGGATGGTGTACGAACCCTGTGGCCCAGCTTGCTCTGCCTCTTGCCCAAGCGTTCAGCAGAGTCCACACTCTCAGTGTGGAGCCCTCTCCTGTGTGGAGGGCTGTTTCTGCCCTGCTGGCTCTGTACGACATGGTAAGGCATGGTGTAATACTTTACTGATCCTACTTTACTGATCCGAGAGGAGACCCAAATATCTCCTGATGGCTGTGCTGAAAGTGATTGATGTGTGATAGAGAAGTACTGCACATAGACACTGTTATGTGTGAATGTCAAAACTGTAAATTGCTTAGAGTAGTGATCAAGGCAAAAAAAGCAATATATTTAACTACAGACCATTTCCCATTTACGTTTGCCCTTTTGATTTTAACAACACTGTGTTCCCCCTCTTGCTGCCCTTAAGCCAAACTTTACATTATGTTGGGTTAGGAAGCTGTAGGAATACAGAGCAGAACTGTCATCATGTTGTCTCTTCTATAGGGGAAGGCTGCGTCGCTCCCACTGAGTGTCCATGTGAGTGGGAGGGCTCTATGTTTCCACCTGGTACCACCATCACTCAACACTGTCAAAACTGGTCTGTCTACCAAAATACTTCTGAAAATATAAAACTTTACTCAAATCTTTCAAATAATCAAGTAAGTTTGTCTCCTTCATTAAAATTGAGGGGGGGATTTGATCTTTGTGTGTGCAGCTCCTGTGAGGATGGTGTGTGGCACTGTGAGGGTGTGGTCTGCCCTCCTCCCTCTCCTCCCTGTCTAGAATCAGAGTTCACCTGTGCTTGGGGCCGATGCATTCCCTCTCACTGGGTGTGCGACAATGAGGACGACTGTGGCGACGGCTCAGACGAGCTGTGTCCATCCACCTGCTCTCCAGACCAGTTCCGCTGTAGCAGCACGCCAAGGTGAACCCCACACTATCACTACCATACTGACTTCCTCAAATTCTGTATGTAGAGATTATGAAGGTGCTAAACTGATAAATGTTCAGATGTAATAAATCAAGTATGTGGGTTCAATCATTCTTTTTTTAACAATATAAACATCATTTTAATGTCATGTAGTAGGTTGGTTGGTTGGTTGGTTGGTTGGTTGGTTGGTTGGCTGGCTGGCTGGTTGGTTGGCCAGTCCAACCAGGGTGTTGGCATATGGTAACACGCTTACTGTCAACATGTTGTGTGCTAATCTAACCTCTAGCTGCACCCTAATGTCTAGACTGGACTTTTGGTCCAGTTGTGATAATGATTCCAGACAGATGTCAACTTGTTCATTGATCCAAGAATTGTATTTTCTGTTCAGTACAACTGACTTTGATTATTGAATAGGTTTTTTACATTATAAATCATTTCCATCATGTATAACTATATAACAATAGAGTTTATGTAGTGAATAAAGTCAATTAACCCCCAACCCTGCAGTGGACCATGTTTGAACCTGGCTCTGCGTTGTGATGGCCACCCAGACTGTGCCGACCAATCAGACGAGGAGTTCTGCGGACCTACCACCCCCGTGCCCCTGTGCCCACCAGGAGAGTTTCAGTGTGCCAATGGGAAGTGTCTGCCAGCCAGTCGGGTGTGTGATGGACGACTGGACTGTGGCTTTGCTGATGTGTCCGATGAGCAAGGTGATCTGTCAATTACAATCTATTTACATTCTCTGTTGCCATTATTCACTATTGTAAAATGTTTTGAGGCTTTGTGTATTTAAATGTGTTTAAATGTGGTCGTACTTGTGTGAATACTCATCTGCACTTCTGTAACTCTGTGACCTTTGTCGGTGCAGACTGTGGTGTGGTGTGTGACGAAGGGGAGTTCCTGTGTGCTGGAGGACGTTGCATTCTCTACTTCCACCGCTGTGATGGACACGATGACTGTGGGGACTTCAGTGACGAGAGGGGGTGCGTGTTCAGCTCTGCTCTTTTTGTTTTTTCAGAGGTTTTCTATTTGTCAGATAGGTGCAGCTTTTAGTGCATGTATGCAACACAATCTTGACATTTACTTAAGTTGAAAGTTTATCTTGAATGCCACACAAATTGTAAAAACTCAACCATATTTTCAGAATCTCGCATTTAAAAAAATAGAAATTATTTGATAATATCGTACAACATAAATATTGGATGGATTACACGTATGTTGCATGATTATCTAATATGTTTGCTTTTTGTAGGTGTGTATGTGCACCAGGAGAGTTTCTGTGCCCGGGGGACCAGTGTGTTCCTGCAGACAGAGTGTGCGATGGAAACAGAGACTGTCCCTCAGGAACAGATGAAGCTGTCTGTCCAAGTAAAGGTACAAACTATAGTAAAACACAATTAAATGATTTCCAATAGGAGGTTATATGATTCACATATGACAGAAGCAAACCCATCCTGCATGATTGAAGTGATGTATTTTGATGTATCTCGTTTGCTTGGCAGTGACCTGTGCTCCGGACCAGTTTGCCTGTAGAGACGGCACATGTATCACCACAACTGAGCTGTGTGATGGGACATCGGACTGTCCAGGTGGAGAGGATGAGAACAGAACCATTTGCTACTCTATCCTCACAACACCATCACAACCACATGTCACCCCGACTGTGCCCTCTTCAGGTAAAAGTCGTGTTTCAGAGATTGCAGGGGGAGGGTGTTTTCAGTGGTCAGTTTCCCTACAGCCTTCTGTTTCTCCAGCTTGTAGATCCTATGAGTTCGGCTGTGCCACTGGTGGACAGTGTGTGCCTCAGGCCTGGCGGTGTGATGGGGAGACAGACTGCCTGGATGGGAGTGATGAGCAGCAGTGCACCACACCCTGTGGCCCTGGCCAGGTTCCGTGCCTCAGTGGGGACCAGTGTATTGACTACCACCAGCTCTGTGACAGGACTCCACATTGCAGGGACGCCTCAGACGAGAGCATAGACAACTGTGGTGCGTTAAACAGGAGAATCCCAAAATATGTACCATTTGGTCACAGAGGCAGGTTTTCTCTAAAGACATTTTGTTGTCCTCTAGGTTCTACCCAGATACCTCCCTGTCCAGGCAGCTTCTCATGTGACAACCGCACCTGTGTGAACATGACTCAAGTGTGCGACGGCCTCCCAGACTGTCCACGGGGCGATGATGAGTTGGTGTGTGGTGAGTTCTCATGAGATAAGTAGAGATAGGAAGTATTCTAGGTGAGGGACTGTAAGGGGGGAGGTCTGAAGAAGGGTTTTGAACTTAAAACATGAAATAAATTGGACGGAGGGGAAGGATAGACAAGGAGAGGACCAAATAGAGAATATATGGAAATGGACAAGAGAGATGAGAAGGAGTGAAATGAATGGTGATGGAATTCTGATAATATTTTTGACATTTTGTTCTATTCAGATAAAACTGTCTCACCTTTGCCCCCTGGTGGCAAGAACAACACTGTCCCCTGCCCTGAGTTTACATGTATGGATGGATCCTGTGTCCCCTTCAGCATGGTATGCGCTGGGTTTCTTAAGAAGTGTTTTTAATTGTTTGTAAAATTCCCTCCCTCATACAATAATCATCATTCATTTAATCTCTAGAAGTACAATACTCTGAGTCTGCATGTCAACATTCATATAAAAAAAAGAGTTTAATCATTTAATGATCAATTATTTAATGATATGGAGTTGTTAAAGTACTTATCATATGCAACATATTAAACACTAATGAGAACTTAAGAAATTACAGGAAAAAAGTTGCAAATATCAAACATAATTGATCTCCTGCTTTCATAGAACACAGGATAAAAGTATATACATCCCAAGCTCACTAAACCCCTCCTGCTACCAGGTTTGTAATGGTGTGGCAGACTGCTCAGACTCCTCTCTAGCGCCACTTGGAGGCCCCACAGATGAGCAGGGCTGTGGAACCTGGAGCTCCTGGGGTCCCTGGAGCCCCTGCAGCACCTCCTGTGGGACAGGCTCCACGAGCCGGCAGAGAACCTGCCCGCAAGGGGACCCGCTGCGCCACTGTCGGGGACAGGATGTCCAGAGGCAGCAGTGCTTCAACACCACCTGCCCAGGTAAGCAGGTGGACAAATAATAACTTAGATAGAGAAATAAATTTAATATTTGTTTCTGAGGTGTGACGCTTTCTCCCTCCCTCTTCAGTGGATGGTCAGTGGATGCCCTGGGTGAGCTGGTCCAACTGCTCCAGTGGCTGTGGTGGAGTTCAGGTACAACACAGAGGCTGCATCCCTCCTCGCTACGGAGGCCTAGACTGTTCTCAGCTACCTGGACAATCCAACCTCGCCATGGAAATCAGTAAGAGCAGAATAAAATTAATCCAAACATGCTGCTTCACTTGATATCTCTGTGGTAAGCACTGTTGGGACTCTCAAAGAGTATGGTGTTATAGATAAGGGAAAGATGAAGAAATAATTATGATATGGAAATTGTTTTCGTTTTCAGTTACTAATGGTCTTTTGTTTCTTACAAGAAGACGTATGCACAAAATATTTTTGGACACAAATCCTTAAAAAGCAGAGACAGAAACAGATAATATTTAATGAAAGAAGGAATACTAAGCAAGGTAATAAGATTAGTTTCCTCCATTTCCTTCCTGTTCCAATCCAGAGCCTTGTCCTGACGATGGATGTGCCAACACCAGCTGTCCCACTGGGCTGGTGAGACACAGCTGTGCTCCCTGTCCAGTGTCCTGCGCCCACATCTCAAGTGGGACATCCTGTGATTCCACAGCACCCTGCTTTTCAGGTCAGTCAGAGGGAATCTAGAATATCTTCTCTGTGATAGTTTGTTGTTTCTTGCCGTTTTTCAAATAGATAAAATGACAGTGAGAGATTTCTGTCTGGCACTTCCTCTTCCTTCAGGATGCTGGTGTCCAGAGGGCCAGGTGATGAGCCATACCCAACAGTGTGTGTTACCAGAGGAGTGTGCATGTGAGTTGGCCGGTGTGCGCTACTGGCCGGGCCAACAGATGAAAGTGGACTGTGAAATTTGTGTCTGCGAGAGAGGAAGGCCTCAGAGATGTCAGCCCAACGCAGACTGCTCAGGTGAGTCTGTTAAAAACACAAAGTCGAGTAAGATCAACATCAAATCCATAGTGCCTTCATAGTGGACATATGTTTACTACTCATTAAGTCTGTTTTGTTTTCCTCTAGTGCACTGTGGCTGGTCATCTTGGTCTGAGTGGGGAGAGTGCTTGGGGCCCTGCGGTGTCCAGAGTGTCCAGTGGTCTTTCCGCAGCCCAAATAATCCCATCAAGTACGGAGACGGTAGAACGTGCAGAGGAATTTACAGGAAAGCTCGTCGGTGAGTAGTCCTCTGCTGATGGAACACCTTTACAATTCTCCTCATAGATATTGATAGAGCTGCAGGGTTATTTTTTTACAGATGACCCCAAGGACTTTCCAACATTCACCTCTGTCTGGTCAAAATTTTACTTTCACTTGCAAATGAATTATTTCCAATCTGTTGTGAATATTTATGATTTACAAAGTATGCAAAGCATGAATGGAAATATTTCAGTGACTCATCCAATCTTTCTGTTAGTGACACGATGATGTCACATTTTGATTAGAATGAATTGTAATCATTATGTAAATTTCCTGAATGCATATTTTGTAAATGCAATTTTTAAATACATTTTTCAAATTGAATTAAAGTGTGTGAGTATTTGTGGTCCACAGACGGTGATCCTTATTGGTTTTACCCTTTTGTAACCCTATTGTAAAACGTACGTCATACAACATTTGGAATGAGAGGTTTAAATCAAATTGTACTGATATCATCCATGCCCTCTACATGAAATCTTATCAATTCACATGTTTGATTACTGATTTGCCTTGATTTTTCAAAATCTATTGAACCCACATTATTTGCAACCATGCTTTTCAGTCACTAGAGATAATCTCATTCCTTTACAGCAACACCTCTTCAGGTTCCTATTAAAAACATATTCCACACTTGTTTTTAGTTCCTATGACAGTTCGGTACATGCTTTATCAGTTCCAACATACATGTCTGTGTGTGTATGCAGGTGTCAGACAGACCCCTGTGATGAATGTGAGTACCAGCGTCAGGCCCATGCTGTGGGAGACAGATGGAGATCAGACCCCTGCCAGTTATGCCACTGTCTGCCCAGCCTGACAGTGAAGTGCTCCCCCTATTGTCCATACGCTGTCACTGGATGCCCACAGGCAAGAGAGAAACTACAGCTTTTGCACATTTGTCTTTTCATTAAAGTACAACACTGTCTAGACTTGAATGCATCTGTGTTTTAATCTTATCTACTGTCAAAAGTCCAATGCTTTCTGTCCCTGTCATAGCTTTAAATTGACTTTATCACGTAGCACTGTGCCCTGAAAACACATGAGTTAAGTGTTGACAGTTCCTTTGTCTGGGCAGGGTCAAAGTCTGGTGCCTGGAGAGGGAGACAGGTGTTGTTACTGCCAAGGTAGAATCCTGACTCTTGTTACGAAATCTGCTGATGAAATATCTTCCTGTGAATAAAAGAATTCCCCATGTGACGTTGATGGAAATTTGAAATTTGCTTTTTCTGATCAGACAAATCCATGTTAAAAAAGACCATTTATTGCTGATAATTTTAAAAGAAAAATGGAACATTTACCTGCATTAAATTCTATATTAGTCCAACAATTACAAAATGTAGAAAGCTGAAAAATCCTGCTCCTTTATAACCTCAACACTACAAATATACAAAAGTTTATTCGTTGTGATCAAAATAAGGAAATGACAGTGTTCTCTGACATTTGTCTGTCTATTCTCGAAATCCTCTGCATGTAGCAGAAAATGGCACCATTCTTGTGACAGAGACCCCTGACACTGTGACCTCCAGCCCAGCAGAGGGTACTACACCCCTGGTTCCCACATATCCACTTCCTCCTGCAGGTGAGTGTGTTTCTCATGGTCACCAGATGTTTGTTGTATTTTGACTGATTCTGTCTTATTGTAATTTTCATGGACTCTCTGTTCAGATGAGTGTTGGGCTCCTCTGGGTGTCCAGACTCTGCCAGGCTCAAGTTTCAGGGCCTCATCACAGCAGAGTGGGCACCCACCTGAGGCCGCTCGCCTGCATGGATGGGACTCTCATACAGACCTCCAGGTACAACACATCCAGTTTATATTACACAGTTAGACTTTGTTCTGGTTCATGATCATCCTCATGATGTGTGCATGATCACGTTGTTAAAGCCATACCTGGGAAACATTGCTCAACTAATTTCCATGAAATTGAATGGAGGGGCAGGGCATGACCCAAGGAAGATTTCATTATCACATGGTGTAGATCCAGGAATATTTTTTACACTTTATATATATGTGGTTTTATAAAGGCCTCTGTGAAGGTATGGACTCTACTCAGTGACATTCTACTGTAATCTGGGTTCAGTATTGACATGGTTGAAGAAATAGAAAAGTTTAGATGCTTTTTAAATTGACAATGCATGTTTTCTAGTTGCTGTTTGAACAACATGGGCCATAAGGCTCTTGTTTAAGGGAGGCTTGTTGTTAGAAGGCCTCATGTTAAACTCCTCTGTGATCCTCTGCCGGCCTGCAGTTTGACTTTTTCGGTTTTGGGTGAAATCTCTCGATGTCTGTCTCACATAGATTGCTGCACATTACTTTTCCTCTACTGCCATTATCAGGTCAAAAAGATCAGGTTTTGGTTTTGTCAAATACCCGTGATACAAAGACATCTCTATCAGCCACAGCTTGGGTTAAGTGTCTAATAGGAAAACTCTCAACGTATCTGCAGGGCTGGAGTCCAGAACCTGAGGAATATAAGGACCTCCCACAGCGGAGCCCCAACGGACACAGTAGCGACACACAAAGCCCCTACCTGCAGATAGACCTGCTGAAACCTTACAACATCACTGGTAAACATGCAGGCACCTTAACTACATAATGAAGTGCTGGTTTAGTTAGTGCGCTGTGTGTAAGTGAATCAGTGAAACAAATAGAATGCATTCCACTCTTCCACAGGTGTGTTAACACAGGGTGGTGGCAGGTTTGACACGTTTGTGTCCAGCTTCTACCTGCAGTTCAGCCCGGACGGCAGACGGTGGTACACCTACAAAGAGCTCGTCACTGATGCACGGCCCAGAGCCAAGGTCAGCCATCAAAGTGCAGGCGACTTTAAAGGCCACTTATTTAGTATTGCTTTTTTAGATCTTGAGGTTAAAGTGTCACTTTTTCCCCCTGCAGGTTTTTCTTGGTAACCATGATGATCGAGGGGTGGCTGAGAGCAGACTGGACAGGATGGTGTCGGCTCAGTTTGTCCGCCTGGTGCCACATGATTTTCAGAATGGCATCTACCTTCGACTTGAGATTATGGGCTGTGGGGATGGTTGGTAGATTGATTAAATGCCACTTTGTCAGTTTGTGCACAGATCCTCTTCTAAATCACTTTCATCTCCTACCATTAAGGTTATCGCTGGTCGACTACCTCCACCCCTCCCTCGCCAGTCTCCCCTGCGGGCGGCTGCAGAGTGAAGGAGTTTCAGTGTAAAAATGGCCGCTGTGTACCAGCAGGTCCACTGGGAGTTGTGTGTGATGGAGTCAATGACTGTGGCGATGGATCAGATGAGATGTACTGTGGTGAGTTTCCCCTTTAATCCAGTTATCGTTCATGCATTCTTACTTAACTTAGCTCAGTGGATTAACATACATTGCACATTTCCTTCTCCCTACCTGCAGGGACTCAGCCCTCAACTACAGCCACCAGTCCTCGCAGCTGCCCTGCTGGGCACTTCTCTTGTCCCCCACCAGGGGGCTGCATTGATGCAGGGAAAAGATGTGATGGTATCTTCCAGTGTCCAAAAGGAGAGGATGAAACTGGCTGCCACCCCCACAACACCACAACCCAGTCAGACAGGTAGAGTCATATTAACTGTATTATTGTTATTACTCTGAAAGTATTGAAATATTCACCTGTTTTCAAATCTTTTTCATCCTTCTCTGTGTTTATCCAGGTTTTTTATTCATTGTGCTGTAAAGTGGTCAGATAAGATTTCAGGTGTTGCATTTACTCTCTTTACTCTACAGACCACACACTCCCACCCCTGCTCCTCTCAGGACTCCGTCCATGGCTGCTGTCTCTCGCCCTGCAGTAACATCAGCTGTAAGTGATACACTGGTTCCTTCAAAATCTATATTTATCATCTTAAACATTTATTATGTTAAAATTGATTTAAATAAACTTGTGTTCTCTCTAATTTAATGTAAACTAAAAAATATCAATTGCCAAATATTATACAAGTCATAATACATAAAAAATACAGAAATGGTACAAATTTCATACAATTGTTATTTAAACATCCTGCATTTAAAACGTACATTAATATTCACAGGAAGAGTTCAACTCTAATCATTAAAAATCCCAAAGATTCCAGGTGTTTATTTATATATTTAATTTGTTGACAGGTTGGTGTACCAGGATATCGTGGTGAGTAATGAAACGCAGTTTAATTGATTCATTATTTTTAACATTTATTGTCTTTTGAGAACAGACACATCTGTTTAACCCTCATAAAAATAGTTTATCATACTGCACACCAAAGGCTTTAGTGTCTTGTAATCTTTACCAAACTGGTTCTGTTGGATTAAAATTAATTTTACCTGCAGGCATCTGCTCCTCTCCCCTGGGACTGGAGGATGGGAAAATTCGATATGGACAGTTGACCTCGTCCTCACATCGTGAGAACAACCCTGCTGACGCTGGAAGACTAAACATCGTCCCAAATGTGTAAGTGGTCTGGTCGATATGTGGCTGTTGACCTGAAAATAAGAATCTAAGGCAAATATAAACCATATGTTCTTCTGTGTAGCCAGGTAATGGAGCCTGGATGGAGTCCCTTACCCACAGATGCTCAGCCATATTTTCAAGTGGACTTCCTGGAGCCCATGTGGGTATCGGGGGTGGTGACGCAGGGCAGTGAACGCATGAGGGGTTACCTCTCTAAATACCGCCTGGCCTTCGCACTGCACAGCAGCCTCTTCTCAGATTACACTGAAGATGGGAAACCTGGTGGCCCTGCCAAGGTGCTGCAGTCATTGCATTTAAAAACATTGCATTTTTCTTAAAAAAACCTCATTATATGTGTAAGTATAATTTGTGGTGCAGGTGTTCGAGGTGCGGATGACGGGAAGGACCCCTGCGACACGCTGGCTCGATCGGCTGGTCAGAGCTCGCTACCTCCGCATCATCCCAGTGGAGTTTAGACACACCTTCTACATGCGTGTTGAGATCCTCGGGTGCAGAGGAGGTGAAGAACTGAACTGAATACAAAAGTGTACGATCATTTCTAACTGTTAATCATGTGAATCAACTCTTCCTCCTGCTTTTTGTAGAAGAGCTGATGACCCCCAGCAGCGTGACCTCATCTTCCCCTGGTGGTCGAAAAGTGACGGTACAGCGTTGTAAGCCAGGCCAGTTTGCGTGCCAGCACACTGAGCAGTGTGTGTCTGTGTCCGTGCTTTGTGATGGACGACCAGACTGCAAGGACCACTCTGACGAGATCAACTGTGGTAGGAGCCCATGAACACGGGGCCATATACTATATTCATTCTTGTTCTTGCTATTTATACCACTCATATTAATTTCTTGTCTCCTTTTCGGATCCAGCGTTTGTAATAATTAACATTTGCCAGATGAGCATGTAAATATTAATGATGTCTGTCATGTGTCTCTTTATCTTTCACCTCATCTACAGGTACAGCTCCAACCAGAGGCTCACCAGGTCTGCAGAACCAGACCAGTTCTGCAGGGAGACCAGGTTTCCATGGCGACACTACTACAGGTGCCCCAGGCCTCCACACCACCGGGTCACAAGGTGGCATTCCCGGTGTGGCTACGTCAGGGGTCACGGGTCAACCTGGACTTCAGAAGACCACAATTCCAAGTACAACTGGCTATTGATCATATTGAATTTAACTCATTGTTCTTGAGATTTAGAATGAGATTTAAAACCTTTTACTGCAAAGTTCAAATATTTTTACTCAGTTTATTAAGCTTCAGGTTGTGTCTGGTTGCAGTTCACAGTTTTTTTCTTGTACTACTGTAAATGATCAGGCCACTGGACCACCAAACCCTCCATCTACCCAGGGGTTACCACAGGTCAGCCTGGACTGCACCTCACTACCTCTCCTAGCTCTGGAAGGCCTGGTCTACAAACCACAAAAGGTATGTGAACCTTATAAGTTAATCCTACAGCCCCATCGGTCAGGTGGGTCGACACCCTTCACTGCACAGAGTGGGCATTTATACCTGCCGCTATTTTGCATTTACAGCACCGTGGATCACCACACCGCCTGATGATGGGGGCCTACCCAGAGTGCTTTGTGTGGAGGGCCAGTTTGCGTGCCGATCATTTGGCTGCGTGGACTCCGCGCAGGTGTGTGATGGCAGACGGGACTGTTTGGACGGGTCGGATGAAGAACGCTGTGGTAGGCATCAACACCATGTCAGAGGGCAGGGGAATGGAAGGATGGAGGAAAGTGGCATAGTGGCATTAATCAGTGAGATTGTGAGATGGATTGGAATCCGAAAATTCCTAAAAAAGTGCCTTAAGTCTCTGCACATTCCTGTGTATATTATGATAAACCAAAAAGACATCAAAAATAAGATTTATAAAATTGTTGAACATAATTTTATTATTGTATTACCATGTCTCATTCAGGCACGACAGCCAGACCAGTGGTGACACAGCGCCCCCCTGTGCCCAGCCCGTGTTCTCCCAAGCAGTTCCCCTGTGACAGTGGGGAGTGTGTTCACCTGGACCGCAGGTGTGACCTACAGAAGGACTGCGTGGATGGGTCGGATGAGAAAGACTGTGGTAGGTTACCATTCCACCTCAGAATTGGTGATGAGACTTGACAGGAAAATATGAATATTACATTTTTTACAACCCGCTTTGTCTCCTCTAGTGGACTGCATCATGTCCCTGTGGACAGCCTGGAGCGCATGCAGTGTGTCCTGTGGTCTGGGCTCCTTGTTTCGGCAGAGAGACATTCTGAGGGAGGCTCTGCCTGGAGGGGCCTGCGATGGAGCCCAGTTTGACAGTCGAGCATGCTTCCCTCAAGCATGTCCAGGTGAGCGGAGAAGAGGGCATCTTTCACAAGTACTCACTGTCTCCTTCAGTGGTTATCTCAGTCTCATGCTCTCCTGTCTCCTCTTGTAGTTGATGGTCACTGGTCAGAGTGGACAGAGTGGTCGGAGTGTGACGCTCAGTGCGGTGGTGGAGTCAGGCTCAGGAACAGAACCTGCTCCGCTCCCCCTCCCAAGAACGGTGGGCGAGACTGTGAGGGCATGACCCTGCAGAGCCAGAGCTGCAACAGCCAGTCCTGCACCAAAGACACTGGCACACAGACAGGTGACCCCATCAAACTTTGCATTCTGGAGCTCAGTACTCTCTTCCTGATTTGTTTTATTGTATTATTACCTTGTTTATGTCACTGCTGCAAAATGAAATCTGTAAACTGTGTCACACCTCCGTTGTGGGTAACTCACAGACTGACTGGTTCTTCCAGGTTGTGTCAATGGCATGGTGCTGGTGACTGAGGCAGACTGCCAGGCTGGAAGAGTTGAGCATTGTCCTCCTACCTGCTCACACCTCAGCCTGACCAACAACTGCACTGCAGCATGTATACTGGGTAGGATGCACTTTATATTACTGTACTGGAGTTTGAGATTATAATGGTTGTGAGGTTGAGTAGGTAACAGGTCTCTTACTGCATACAAGGCTGGTTCAGAATCCATTTATACTAAAAAAGTAATCATGTGCATAATAATACCTCTTTTACATACTTGTATATCTTTAATTATGCTTAAGACCATGTATTTAGGTGATTTGGGTTATTGCTGCAAAATACAAAATGGTATTTTGCTTTTGCACTTACATTGATGAGAGAAATATGAGGAAGTAATGCTCTGGAAACAAGTCCAAGATAAATTGTCTATGGTCCATTGTGTCTTAATTGATTTCTGACTGTGATTCAGTAGGTCGGCGATTTCACACACCGTTTAATTGTTTCGATTACAATGCAAAACCTCTTTAGAAGTGATAAAGTGAAGACACTGAAACAATGCGTCTTGTGTTTTTGCAGGAGGGATGTTAGGTCACACAGGCTCATACAATCCAAGTATAAACACTGATATAGACAATAAGTCATAAGACAAACTGTAATATCATAGTAACAATGTTATAATATGTTTTGTCTTTCTTCAGGCTGTCGCTGTCCCAGTGGTCTGTACCTTCAGGAGGGGCGGTGTGTAAATGCCAGCCAATGTGTGTGTCACTGGGACGGCCAAACACTGCAGCCAGGACAGACATTCAGTAAGGACCAGTGTACAACATGGTGAGAGACACAGACATATTCATTTTGGCTTTTAAGAAAGATTTTTTTACATTTGTATGTCTAGTTCATAAAGCTCTTCTGATGTTTTTGTCTGAAAATAATTGATTCTTCAGATTGAAATAGTTGTCAGTATACATTCTGTGCAGCATTGTGTGTGGGAGACAGCCTGAACCTTTGATTTTTTTAATAAGAAAATAATGTCTCACCAGTGTTTGCAGAGAAGGACAAGTCACCTGCGACACCTCCAGCTGTGTGGCGAGCTGTCGCTGGTCGGCCTGGTCGTCATGGTCACCATGTGATGTTACCTGTGGTCTGGGCCTTCAGCAGCGCTACAGGTGAACTGCTCAGGTATTATATATACAGCAGGTTACATCTGGATTTGTTCTCATGCCCTGACTGTCTCCTCAGGTCCCCTGTGAACCCTCCAGGAGCAGTCAGAGTCCAGCCCTGTCCAGGAGACTCCTCTGAGGCCCGCAGCTGCTCCAGCCCCTGCCTCCCTGGTACAACTACGCAAACTTTCTTCGACACAGAAGTTTTGAAAGATTTTCTCATTTGTACCATTAAGTTTGTTATGAAACACACACTGTGCATTAAAATGAATGCATAAAATAAATGAAACCCACTCATCCTTAATTTTTAATGATATTTTTCTTATATTCAGATATTGGAGTTGACTTTAGAGATTTTGTGACGAACCATTCTATTTCCAACAATTTCAGTAAAGTAGTGCTGCACTTATAGGACAATGATTAAAAAATAAATACAAATTCAGCAACTATTTTGCTAATCAATTATTCAATTAAATAATTTTTCTAGCAAGCCATATGAAAATCAGTTGCTTTTCTTGGTCTCACATTATTCAGTTGAATATTTTAAGGTTTCAGTAAGTAGGTCACATAAAACAAGATAATAAATGACATCACCCTGTGCTGCAGAATTTAAATATGAACATTTTCAATGTTGTCTGTTGATTGTTAATTGCAGCCCTACACATTTTTATCAAAAACTTAAATGTGAGTCTGTTTGCGTGCTCGCCGTGTTGTGATGGTGTAATGACTTTGCCGTTTCTCTTGTGCAGTGCTACCAGATGGAGTTTGGGGTAAGTGGACCGGCTGGTCAGAGTGTAGTAAGACGTGTTTCAACCTGGTAGATGAGGTGGGAATCAGACGCAGATTCCGCAGCTGCAACCGCACACTCACCACATTCAACACCACTCGCCCTGGCTGTGATGGGGACAGCGAGGAGCAAGAGCCTTGCAACACGGTGCACTGTCCAGGTGTGACACATGATTCCTCAGTTTCTTTTCTACCCATTTTTCCTTTTGGATAAAAAAAAAAAAAAACATGGAAAGCATTTTATGAATATAAAGTCAAAAAAAAAAAAAAAAAAAAAAAAAACTCCTGTAATATAGAATCTGATTTTAGTTTTGTGGTTCCAGTGAATGGCGGCTGGTCAGCATGGTCACCGTGGTCTCAGTGCACATCAGAGTGTGACTCTGGTGTTCAAACAAGAGAGCGACTCTGCAGTTCACCCTCACCACAGCATGGGGGCAGCAGCTGCCAGGGGCCACACATACAGACAAGAGACTGCAACTCCCACCCCTGCTCAGGTGCTGCATCCTGTACCTCATATGAGTGAATGATATGACTTTATAACGATATATATACTGATTTCAGATGTTCCAGTTATTTCCAAGTTTAATTTCCGCTTTTTGTTTTCTTATTCCTCTCCTCTCAGGTGTGTGTCCAGAGGGCATGGTGTTCATGACGGCAGCTGAGTGCGACGCTCACGGTGGTGCGTGTCCGCGGGTTTGTTTGGACATGACCTCCACTGAGGTGCAATGTGCCACTGCCTGTTATGACGGCTGCTACTGTGCCCCGGGCTTCTACCTGCTGAACGGCAGCTGTGTGCCCCTGGCACAGTGCCCGTGCTACCATCAAGGGGAGACGTACCCAGCCGGCACCGTCCTGCTCGTCGATGTCTGCAATAACTGGTGCTGTGATGACAAAAATGTTGCCTCTGATTATTCGTTGAATAGATTTAATTGAGTCTAAATCTTCCTTAAATGCAGCTTGTAAAACATGCAGTAATCAAATGTCACTTTGTCTCGTCTCTCTAATAGTACCTGCATTAATGGAGAGATGGAGTGTGGGACAGCTCCCTGCTCTGGTTAGTGCTCTCACTGTCAAATTCAATTTTGAATGTACATTTTTTTATCTCTACCTTTCACTCTCTACACGGTCCTCACTGTCTACAAATCTCTTTCTGATTGAAACCTGTGTGTGTATGTGTGTGTTTCTCAGTGGACTGTGGCTGGAGCAGCTGGACCCAGTGGAGCACCTGCAGTCGAACATGCGATGTTGGAGTGAGAAGGAGGTATCGTTCAGGGACTAACCCTCCTCCGGTGTTCGGGGGTCGTCCTTGCGAAGGACACAGAGTCGGGATTGACACCTGCAGCATTGAACCCTGCTTTGGTTTGTAAACTTACTTGGTGGTTTTCTTCATAGAAATTCGAATTTAAAATGAACAAACTTTAACAGAAAAGGACAAGAATCTGGGCAAAGTTCTTGCTACTAAAAGCTGAACTTTTAGAAGTGTGCTGTTTTCATTTTATTCTTTATGCATTATAAAATATCTAAAACAAAACAAAAGTGAATCCAGTTGTGTTGTTTCTCAGGTGTGAAGGAGCCCTGGAGCACATGGTCAAAGTGCTCAGTATCATGTGGAGGAGGGTACAGGACTCGAACCCGCGGGCCGATTCGAATCCACGGCACCGCTCAGCAGTTCAGCGCCTGTAATCTGCAGCCCTGTGGTACAGCAACATCTTATCACTCAAACAATAGCTTACTATTGTGTTTCCAAGAACACGGCAGGATGTACTTTTACTTCTCATACGAATGAAATATGGTGGATGAGGTGGTGGTTTTGTAGAAGAAGAAAACACAAGGAGCCAGTAAAGTAAATAATGTTATGAGCTCAAACTGACTGCAGCAGGAGAAACAAATGGCCGTGCTTTTATTTGATCAATTTTCATAAGAAATGCAAGTTGTAGATTAGTAGAAATACTAATATGTATATATAAGTATAGGAATAGTGTAATAGCATAAATTGTAAAAGAGGTCATGTCTAATTAAAGAGCAGGATTAAGTAAAGGCACAGAGAGAGCAGTTTTTAATTTCCTTTTAGAGAAGGTTTGATACTCATTGCCAGATTAATGTATCATACAACACATAATGTTTTGAATTCAGACAAATATATTCAAAAGGAATTGCTCATTTCCAGTTAAATCTATAAATTTATTTTACACATTTTCTAAATTTAAACATATTTTTTTAATGATCTCTTCTTGCACTCGTTTGCTGTGTCAGGTGACGGCCGAGTGTGTCCTCCCGGCCAGGAGTGGAAGCAGTGTTTGAGGGGGGCAGTGTCGTGTACAGACCTTGCGATGGACCTCAGCAGGAACTGCACACCAGGCTGCCAGTGTCCACCGGCAACTGTCCAACAGGTGGGAGGTCTTGCTGTAACGCAAACTTAGTTTAAAGTCACAGACACAGGAATCACACGGTTATTGTTCACGATCCCTGATATTCCCAGGACGGTGTGTGTGTGCGAGAGTCCGACTGTCGCTGTGACATGGACGGGGAGCAGTACAAGCCAGGAGACATTGTCCCCACTGACTGCAACAACTGGTATAACAAATAACAAATTCAATCAATTCAAGTGTTGCTGTTGTGTTCATCCTTATATCAAATTCATTTCTAATTTAACTGTTATATTTCAGCACATGTGAAGCAGGGAGGCTGGTGAACTGCTCTCAGGACAGATGCAACGGTTGGCAAAAACTCTTGAATCTTTCTGTGCTTTGTCTTTTATTTCTTCTCATTTCATTGTGTCATTACTTTTTTTTTTTTACATTGTTTTCATGTGAATAATCTCTTATCTAATTTCTGTCTTCAGTAATATATAGTATCTCTAAGATTTAAGATTTCAAGCGTGATGAATTATAATTGACAGTACAGCTGTAGTGATGACGCATGAAAAAGTCAAATGAGTATCATTAATTTCTTTCCTCCTGTCATCTCATTCGACCTCGTGTTCTTCTTCCTTTCTTTTTCTCCTCATCAATACACATACCTCTCTGTCTGTCTCTCTCTCGCTCTCTCTGCAGTTGACGGCCAGTGGTCCATGTGGACTCCCTGGGGTCAGTGTTCAGTGTCGTGTGGTGCGGGGATCCAGTCTCGGTACAGGTTCTGTTCTAGTCCCCAGCGCTCTGGCAGCGGCCTGCCATGTCTGGGACCACACAGAGAGGACCAGGTCTGCATCAACAGCCCATGTGACCGTGAGTTTATTTCACGCTAATTAACATTGATCCTTTTTATTTGGTATCTAAAGAAGTTGCATTACATTTTTAATTGGATGTTTGCACATAGCACATCCAGACTATCAGGCTAGTGCGGGCGGACCACATCTAATTGGACTTTTGCAGATCTTATCCTAATGTCTCAAACTCTGGCATGAGTCAGTCTCCAGGAAACTTGCATGTCAACATCCTGTAAGACTCAGCATGTATTGATAACAAATTGATGACGGTATAAATCACACTTTTCATTTTTCATAGTTAATCCAGAGAAATAAAAGCCCATGTCAAGTGTATCAGACTTTTGCTACATTTGAGGTGTGAAACATATTTCAGTTCAAGAAAAGAAGAAAAAATAAATGTTGAGACAAAATATACAAAAGAATAAAAGCTTGTTTTACAGTATAAGACATTTTTTGTTCACTTTGCCCTGTGAGTTCAAACACACAGATACATGCAGTACATCCAGTATCTAAATCTTCATTTACTGTGAAGCTGTTTGGATTTTTTTCACAAAGATGAGTTGGCTCTTTCCAGGTGACGGAGGGTGGGGTCATTGGAGTAACTGGACGGAGTGTACCAAGTCCTGCGGTGGGGGAATCCAGAGCCGGAGGAGAGAGTGTGACAGTCCCAGGCCAGAAGCCGAGGGGAATTACTGTGAGGGCCTGGGAACGGCGGTCAGAGCTTGTAACACTGACCATTGTCCAGGTATGATTACAGACTGTAAATGTGTCTGTGTGTGTTGTCTGTGACTCATTTTGTGTTTATTTCTACAGTTATAACAATGTTTGTGTGTGTTTGCAGTTGCTCCATGTTCTCAGGTTCCAGGCACAGTGTTCAGTAGCTGTGGGCCCTCCTGCCCTCGCTCCTGTGACGACCTGGCAGTGAGTAGGACACCAAACATCCCCCCTGTCTTCACCTGTTTAAGATGAAGTCATGCTTTATAGATAGAGATAATAGAATCTGATCATGTTTAAGTGCTTCTCCTGTCCCTCAGCACTGTGAGTGGACATGTGAGCCAGGCTGCTACTGTACAGAGGGAAAGGTCCTGTCTGCGAATGGGACAGTCTGTGTAGAGAGAGAAGACTGTCCCTGCCTGGACCTCGGCACCGGGCAGTGGCTGGAACCAGGAGAAACCATTACAGCCCAGGATGGATGTAACAACTGGTCAGAATAACACACATACAGAGATCACCTATCGTACGTTACATTTAAATTTCTCAGGGAAAGACTGAGGAAGAATTGCATGAATGTCTTTCTGTTGTGTTTCCTGTGTTTCAGTACCTGTGAGGGTGGGAGGTTCAACTGCACGACTGACACCTGTCCAGGTGAGATAGACCTGCAGTACGTCTCTGCATGATTGCTGAATAACTTCCAAAACTTTAAACAGAAATGTTTGAATGCAATCGCTCAGTCTTAAGTTTCCCTTTTGTGATTAATGTTAAGTCTTCATGGGACGATTGTATGTCCAGAGTGTAAATGTAGATTTGTATTTTCAGTGCCAGGTGAATGGTGCGAGTGGTCAGAGTGGACTCCTTGCTCCAGGACCTGTGGGGCAGAGTCTGTGTCTCGCTACAGGAGCTGCAGCTGTCCTGAGCCCAAGGGTGGTGGGGCGGCCTGCACAGGAGAACAGGAAACACACAACGGGGTCAGAGTTCAAATCCAGAGACAGCCCTGCCCTGTCATCACCTTCTGTCCGGGTAGGGACAAGATTGCTTAGTGATTTATTCTTTTACATAAAGTTTTTCCTCTATTTGTTGGTCTTTCATCCTGGTTTTTGTTTGTTTCTCCAAAGGTCTAAAACCTCTTTCCTATTAATATGAATAAGAAATATATATGTATGAATACATGTAGATTTCTACTTCTTGTTTTCCCTTTAAGTTCCCTGCTCCCACAATCCTCATCACTTTCTCTGTTTCTTTTTCTCACTCTCTCTAGTCCACGGCTCATGGAGTCACTGGTCGGAATGGTCGGACTGTGACGCGTGTGCCGGATCGTCCGCCCGCACCAGGGAATGCAACAGCCCGCCCGCCAGGTTTGGTGGTCTGCCCTGTCTTGGAGAGAGCCGACAGAAACGTGGTTGCCATGACAACATTACCATCTGCTCAGGTGAGTACATTAAAGAAGTCTGTATTCATTGTGGATGTATCCAGAGAAGCACTCATTTAGTTATTACACTAAAATGAAGAAATGAAGAGTGAAATGGTTGCTCTGGAGAAGGTCGAATAAAAACCAAAGAGATGCCTGATTAGAAACAAGGTGCTGCTCCGTTAGAGTCTTGTCCTGGAGGGAGTGGAATAAAGACGAGAGTTAAAGGCCCGGTTGAAATAAAGTGGATGTCTGAAAGGATTAATCAACTTTTTTGGTTGAATTCAATCTGTTCCAGTTTACATCTAACCAGCAGAATGACAACAGGGTTCACTGATAAACCCCAAGATGAACATCAGAGCACTCTTATATGTTGTCTGTGGATTCACCCAAACTAATAGAATATTCCATTTATAATCCAGTTTACATGTTGAGAGCATATAGCTATTTTGTATGATGCTATTGGTAGTTTTAAAATCCCAACCTTAAATAGTTTAATACAAGATTCTAGGAAGTGATAATAATGTGATTAAGATTTATACATACTGTATTTATATGAAGCGACTAAGGTCGGGATACTTCACATCTTAATTCCATTAATGCTAATGCCAAGTATGACCCTAATCAGGTTAACATAATTTAATTTTTAAATATGTGTTTGAATATGGACATTATTCACCATCAAATTAAATATGCACTCATTAGTAACCATATTAACAGATGTCTAGAAGCTTCCTGGTAGCTTCCCTAACCCTTTCTTTCATCACGTTACCCTTCATGCATTTTCTGTAATTTCTCCTCTCCTCTGAAGACTGTGGTGGAGGCCAGGAAGAATGGCCTTGTGGGAAGCCCTGCCCTCGCTCCTGTTCCGATCTCCACGGTGACACCGTGTGCTTGGACTCCCCTGGGTGCAGCCGGACTTGTGGTTGTCCAGGTGACATGGTTCTGCAGGACGGAGTGTGCGTGGGGAGAGACGAGTGCCGCTGCAAATATCATAACAGCTCTGCTGCAGGTGAGATCTACATTCTGTGTACTTGAAAAATCCTACTGGAAGTGGTGATGTTGTATATACAGGTTGTTAGACTAAGCAGTGATTAGTCTAATGAATAACTGTTTTGTCTCTGGTTTGTTCTATGATCAGGAGGCCTAGATTCCAGCAATGCATCATGGGTATGGCCTGGAGGATCTGACTGGCAGTTTGCGAATCCAGGAGACAGCATCATCAGCGACTGCAAAAACTGGTAAAAGAAACCATTTGAATTCTGGTGATAAAGTTTAAATGCTATTTAGTTGGATTTATTTTCTTTATTTACCTTCATTTATGCATTTTGCCGTCATTATTATTTTGTCTCAGTTCATGCGAGGCTGGAGTTCTGCGGTGTCAGTCAGTCCCGGGTTGCAATGTTGACGGCAGCTGGAGCCAATGGGGAGCCTGGACTGAGTGTTCGCTTCCTTGCGGAGGAGGAGTTAAGGTCAGGGGACGCCTGTGTGATAATCCAGCTCCTCAGAGTGGTGGGAGAGGCTGCCTGGGAGCTGCTGAGCAGCAGAAAGACTGCAACATACACCCGTGCACAGGTAGTGCTGTCTGAACATATCCAACTTGAAACCCGATGAGTTGATATCTTACTTTACCCTTTAAACAACAAGTGCTTTCATCATATATATATATTTCAAACAATATGGTGACACATTAATGATGTAATAAGTGTTATTGCCAGTTCACATTCTTTCTGAATGCAGTTTCTTTTTTCACATGTCCGTGGTTTTTGCCTCCAGATTCCGTGGGCCCGTGGCTGCCCTGGTCCAAGTGGTCTGCGTGCTCGGTCAGCTGTGGTGGAGGGCAGCAGACCCGCTCTCGTCTCTGCAGCTCGCCTCCCTGCAGCGGCGTCAGTCGCCAAAGCAAGACGTGCAACACGCAGGTCTGCCTCGGTGAGTCTTTGTTTCCTGTTTGATATAATCCATTCATTATCTATACTGCTTATCCTTTTAAGGGACGCAGAGTTGGAGCCGGTTCCGGCTGATATAGGGCGAGAAGCGAGGCACACCCTGGACAGGTCGCCAGGGCCAACAGACAGAATATAATCTCTATTTATGTAGCACTTTTCTTTGCATGTTACAAATGCTTAACAAGAAGAAGTCCAACCAAAATATTAAATACCAAACAAGGCAGTTGACTATTTGCACATGAGAGATGAAGTAGTTAAATTATTAAAACAAAAGTAAAACAAATAATAACAGTAAAAATAAGTGCAAGTTAAACCAAAAGCTTTACAAAGAGAAATTGTTAAAAACAAGATTAAAAAGACGTTAGAGAGTAAGTGTGTCTTAGTTTAGAGTTCCAAAATGTTGGGGCTGTAAATGCAACAGCTCGATCTTATCGATCTGTAAGAAACTGTAACTTGGGAGTGACCAGCATGGCTCCAACTGCTGTTTGTAAACAGGTAATCAGTGTGTGTTTGTGATGTTGTGCAGAGGTGGGCTGCCCTCCAGGCCGGCTGTACAGGGAGTGTGAACGAGGTGAAGGTTGTCCGTTCAGCTGCGCTCAGATCAGCGGCAGAGAGGGCTGCTACTCAGACGGCTGCGAGGAAGGATGTCACTGCCCTCTGCTCACGTACCAGCACCATGGAGTCTGTCTGCAGGTGGTTTCATCATCTAAGGATTTTTGCACTCTGAATAAATTGATGGTAGTTGAGAGTTAAGATTAACACACATCTATGTTTCAGGAGTGTCCTTGTCTGGTGGACAGAGAGTTTCTGGCGTCCCTACAGAGTGTCTCCATCACACCGGTCTCATCCCTGCTTCTCTACAACATCTCGGAGGGAATGGAGCTTCAGTCTGGAGACACCCTGGTCCACGACTGCAGCACATGGTGGGCTGATGATCGTGGGGTTATTTGCAGCCATACATACATTTCCCACAGTCTTTTATTTCCCAGTACACCCACCAACACTGGAGGGTATCCAGCATTTCCCACAGAAGTACTTTAGTGTCTAGTGGTAGCGAGGGCAAATGTGCACTCACACACGCAATAGACTTCTAAGTGACAGGTACACAGACTACAGAGAGAAGATAACTTGTGTAAGACAGAACTTACGTGCATGCAACACTGGTGTCTGTAATTCTATAAATCCTCTAAAAGCATTGCAATTAAGATCACTATTAAAAAGGTTACACCTTTCTTTTGCATGAAGTTGCAACAAACCCTTCAAACCACAACACAACTCAATTCTTCTCCCCTCCTGTCCCCTGCAGCGGCTGTGAACACGGCAGGTGGAACTGTTCCTTGGAGCATTGCCCGGTCGACGGTGGCTTGTCACCCTGGGGCCCCTGGAGCCCTTGCTCTCTGTCCTGTGGAGGTCTGGGACTGAAAACGCGCTCCAAGGGCTGCACTCAGCCCGCACCAGCCCACGGAGGGAGAGAGTGCCAGGGTCCACGCCAGGAGACCACCTACTGCCAGGCCCCTGACTGCCCAGGTACAGAGGGTAGAATAAGCAGAGCTCATAGGGTCTGTAATAGATCAAACTGCTGCAATGACAGTGGTTGTAGAAGATTGGGGCTGTGATTGTTAGAGAATGAATGCACTGAGTTTGTCTTCTTTAATTCCACTTTCACCTTTTCATCGTCAGCCAATGTAGGAGGTCACAACCAAGACTAACTGCTAATAATTTTTTCCCTTTTTTTGCAGTAATTATTGGTCCTACAGAAGAACCAGTTTTACCAGGTAAATCATCCTTTTATACAAAACTTAATACCATGTATTACCATCTTCTCTGTCATTTAAAAAAGAAATATTTCTCACTCTTTTCTCCCCCATTGGGCTGATCAGTTTCCTTGTCTGAATGGCAATTATTGTTGTGCTATGTGAATTTACTCCATATACAACGTACAGCTCTGGAAATAATTTAGGGAACCACTGCAGTTTCTTTAATAAACTATTTTTAGATTTTAAAATAAGGTGAACATTTCTAATTTATTCTTTAAACTCTCTCTTTTTTTTGTTGTTTGAATGTCCTTCCCACTTTTCATGTTCTGTCCTCGTCCACCTTCTGTAGATGAGGACGCTGGCTTCTCTCCCTGGTCACTGTGGAGTCCCTGCACTAAGACCTGCACTGATGCTGTCAGCCCGGCCATAAAGTCCCGTCATCGTCAATGTGTCAAACCTCCCTGCTCTGGAAGCTCTCACCAAGAGAAAGCGTGTAACCTGCCCCAGTGTGCAGGTATATCACTTCACTCCTGTCAGTCTCTGTGATTGATACCAAATCTCTTCTCCTACTTGTCAACAGTGTAAACTAATCCTTGTAGATTTCTTTTCTTGTCAATGCTTTAACAGTGTGTTTTCTTCAAATCAGGCTGACTTGGGGTCTTTTTTAAATATATTTCCAATTACAGCAAATAAAATTGTGAGTATACAAGAGTTAGTTGGAGCCTGGAAGGAATATACATAAGTCAAAAAAGATTAAGTCTGAATTTGGAATTTATTAAATCAGTATTCACTCCTGTGTCAAAGGACTCTGTGGCAGACAATGGTTGTAATCGGCTCCGGCCTGGACCGGCAGTAATGGAAGTAATGGAAATTGCTGACATACAATTTTTGCAAGACAAGGGGAATAAAACTTGTTTAAATAACCTGCATATACTCGCTAAATTGAGTACAAAAGAGTTATCACAAATACCAGATCACAGATTCAGATGAAGTACCGTAAATGGGAGATTGGACAAAATGGAACTATTGTTTATCTGCAAACTATTCCAGCAGCTAAACGTCGAAACGCTGTACTGAATCAGGCATCTCCGGATTGTTAATGAAAGTGTCAGGGTGCACATTTAGCTCAAAAGAAAAGAAATACTGCCAAACTTTTCCATTCAGCTGAATACATCAGACAACAGAGGATGAATTATTCATTTTTGTAGAGTGTTTGTGTGAGAGAGAAGGCTTGTTTTGTAAGTAATGATCTGCATTCACTCGCTATAACATTTCTTCACAGACTGGTTTTTATTTCATCTGTGGATTTGCTGTGCGGGACTGTTGTTTGTGAGTGGCTCGGTTTATAATTCCCACCAATGCTTATCTCACAGGCAACAGCAGAGGTTTGGTCGTGGATTTGTTATTTTCTGATCGGACGTCAGAGATTAATACGGACAAATGGTATTTGTAGCAACTGTGTTTGGGTTTGTAGTTTAGTTTGTGTATAAGAGCTAATTTATTTAAATCTAACCAGAAGAGTTTACTCTCAATTAGAGGGATGATTTAGTACAAAAGAGAAATAGTATCCTGTAAAAACATGTGTGTGTGTGGCAAGATAGCAAAAAGAAGACAAGGGACATTAGGTTTAGAAATACAATATGCAAAGTGCACCTACAGTTAACATTAACTGGAATTTGAAATGACATGCCAGCGATTACACCATCAAGTCTTCTTCAATGTCTTCCCAGATGGGGGTGAGGTATGTATCGGACCTGACTGTGCGAGGAGGAACTGCTCCTGGACAGAGTGGGGGGAGTGGAGCCTCTGTTCGCGATCGTGCGGAGTGGGTCAGCAGGGGAGGATCCGAACCTTCCTCAGCCCCGGGCCCAACGGCTCGTGGTGCGAAGACATTCTCGGAGGGAACCGGGAGCAGCGCTTCTGTAACATCAGGCCCTGCAGAGGTCAGTCCACCTCAGCTGCATGTAGAGTCCAGTTGGGATCATCACTTTAGCCCATGCAGTGTTTTCCTTTCCTTTTATTTCAGCATGATATGAGAATCAAACTTTAAACTTGAGATAGGATGTTCCTTCTATTGCTGCTTTGACATTTCAAAATATCTGCATTAATGGCTACCAGGAAACTAGAGAAACACAATTTAGAAGTATGAAACATTAAACCATGCAATTCCATTTCAATACTATACATTTTTACAGGGTATAAAAAATGCAAAAAACATCATAACGAACAAATACAAAGGTAAT